TTTTAATTGGGAGGGAGATACAAGCTCCCACTTGCTCTGAACTCCAGTACTGGGCAAGACTCTGGGGGACCCAGGCACATACAGGGAAAAACTGGACTGTCTGGCATTGGGACAGGAACTCAAGGGCGGCTTTCTCTTAGAGGTGCTTACAACAATCATTGTTCTTGCATGGAGGCACAGGATGTGGAGAACTGGGGACTTCTCTGGTTCAGGGCTGACAGGTAGCTATTGCTGTTTGCTCCACCCTGGTGGTTTCCAGAGAACCCACCCCATCCAATTTACAACCCCACAAGCTGTGTGCAGAGGCTTTTGCATATGAATGACCTGTCTTTTGCCTAAAACCTGTCAAACTGCAGCTGGGTCAGAGAGCCCAAGAGCTTCCAAAAGAGGTCCAAAGCCCGGCGGTGGCAGCAGCAGGGGCCTTGCTTCACAGCTGGGCTGCAACTGGGCACTTCCAAACCCCATACAAAGAGAATAAATCTGCAGATATTTCTGTAGCTCCTGCTGGGCAGCCCCAGACAGTGGCTGACCTTGCACCTCCTTGGAGATCCAAGAGCCAGTGTACCCAGTGGTTAGAGTGAGACCATACCAGATTATAACTCTTCACATCCATAAGAAACACACTCCAGGGGCAGACTCAATAAGTGCCAAAGCCCTACTGAAGCAAGTCCTTCCCCATAAGGTTGTCTCCTATGCAACAGATCTTCCAGTGTAAACATAAATGATCATCAAAGCCAATTATCCTGGAGGTCAATCCCTCCCAGTGATACCAACAGCAATCAAAGGTTAACTATAGTAAGACTGGGCAAACAGCCCACAAAAGGGTTCACCAAGAGCATCCACCTCAGGTGACTGGGTAGCCTGAGCCACTGGGCCCTATAGGACACCAAACACAAAAGGCCACTCTATCAACTCAAGGAGTCTTAGAAGCTACCTGGTACATAGAAACAAACACAAAGAAGCAGCCAAAATGTGGAGACAACAAAACAAGTCACAAATTAAAGAAATGGATGAAAACAAAATACTGGATATAGAGTTCAAAACCACAGTTATAAGGTTACTCAAGAATTTTCTAGAAACCTCTGAGAAATTTAGTGAGACCCTCAAAAATATGAAAAAGGACCAATCAGAAATTTAGCATACACTCACTGAAATAAAGAATAATATACAAAGATTCAACAGCAGACTAGAAGATCCCAATAATCAAGTCAAAGATTTGAAATATGAAGAAACAAAAAAAAACCCAACCAGAAAAAAAGAATCCAAAAATATGAAGATAGTGTAAGGAGCCTCTGGGACAACTTCAAGTGTACCAACATCCAAATTATGGGGGTGCCAGAAGAAGAGGGAGGGCAAGATATTGAAAACCAATTTGGAGGAATAATGACAGAAAACTTCCCTTACCTGGTGAAAGAAATAGACTTACAAGTCCAGGAAGTGCACAGAATCCCAAACAAAAGGAATTTAAAGAGGACCACACCAAAACACATCATAATTAAAATCTCAAGGGCAAAAGATAAAGAGAGAATCTTAAAAACAGCAAGAGAAAAACAGTTATCTACAAGGGAGCATCCATATGACTGCCAGCTGATTTCTCAACAGAAACTATGCAGGCCGGAAGGGAGTGTCAAGAAATATACAAAGTGATGAATAGCAAGAACCTACAACTAAGATTACTCTATCCAGAAAAGCTATCATTTAGAATTGAGAATCAGATAATGAACTTCACAGACAAAAAAAAAAAACTAGAGTTCATCACCACCAAACCAGTATTAACTGAAGTGCTGAAGGTCATTCTTGAAGAACAAGAACAAGAATAACAAGAACAAGAATATGAACAATAAAATGGCAATAGAAAGCTATCAATAATTGAATCCAAAAATCAAAATATGCATTATCTACAGACACAGATAATAGGGTGATGAAGTTCTGGGGTGGGGTGGAAATTGGGTGGAGTGGGGCAATTGGGACATCTGTAATAATTTCAACAATAAAGATTAAAAATACAATTTGATTAAGTTCTTAAATCAATAGTGCAAAGATTTCTTTGGCATGTCATAATGTTAAGATTTCACTCGCTGCTGCCTGGCCAGATGTCTCAGTTGGCTGAGCATCATCCTGTGCACCAAAGGATTGATGGTTCAATTTTGTGATGAAGTTCTGGGTGGGGTGGAAATTGGGTGGAGTGGGGCAATTGGGACATCTGTAATACTTTCAACTATAAAGATTAAAAATATAATTTGACTAAGTTCTTAAATCAATAGTGCAAAGATTTCTTTGGCATGTCATAATGTTAAGATTTCACTCACTTCTGCCTAGCCAGATGTCTCAGTTGGCTGAGCATCATCCTGTTTGCCAAAAGATTGATGGTTCAATTTTGTATCAGTGCATATACCTTGGTTTCAGGTTCAATCCCAGTCATGGGCTCATATGGAGGGCAGCCAATCCATGTTTTTATCTCAAATTAATCTCTTCTCTCTCTTCTCTCCCTCTCCCTCTCCCTCTCCCTCTCCATCTCCATCTCCATCTCCATCTCCATCTCCATTTCTCTCTTCCTCTCTCTAAGCATGTCCTTGACTGAGGATTAAAAAAATATTTAATAACTTTTGGTTAAAGGGGTAAATGTGTAAAAATAAAATTTCGATGCAGAAATAGCAACTAAATGGGAGAGGGGGGATTAAGAATATTCACAGATTGATGAGTAATTGGATATATACCCCACCCAATATTAAGTCCACATACTGAAATAGGCAAGGATCCAGTTGCCTAATGAGAAGACACTATACTGGGATTAAGGCCACCCAATGTTGAAATCAGCTACTGTCAAGTCAAACAATGAGGAAATCATCAAAAACAGTAAATGGGTAGGCAGTAAACATTGAAAAGATTAGAGAAAGCGGAGCAGTCTACAGAAATGAGTATGCTGTACTTCATTGGTAAATAAATCAAAATTGACCTTCGACTTTCAAAAATAAATACATTTCTCACATTCCTCTATATTTATGTCATCAGTCAGCAGCACTTATAAATAGTATGCTAAAACTTTCCATCTCATTATTTCAGGAAAGTTAGGAGGGTTGTCTGCAACTCTTTCATTGGACCTCTAGCTTAGATTATAAATAATATCTGAAAGAACTGGAACCCAAATTACTGCCTTGAACCTACAGTCATGATTATTAAAGAGAATATTACTAGCATAGAAATATTCTAATGAAATTGGGAATATTTCTTATTGCTTTTCCTAATATCTCTTCTCTATTCATGACTAATCTGTTAGAATCATGTTCCTTTACTTGGAATTCTCCTTATTTGCTCTCTACTGCATAATTCAAATAGCTAATGATCTATTTATACTCTTATCATTTCAAAGTAGATGACTCTAATATTAGATGAAGGTCATGGTTCTTCAGAAACAACCCAACTCTAGTTAATAATATATATTTTGTTAATTTGGTTGCATGATAATTTTTTATAATAATCTCATAGACAACACATTTAATCCAATTAAAACATCTGATTGCCTCTTGCCTGTATGGAAATTACATCAGTTAGATTATTTACAACTATGTCTAACAGAAACCCTGTATTAAATAACGATGATACTACTTCGAGAGAACCCTAAAGATGCCAATAAAAACGTATTAGAATTGATAAATAAATTAAGTAAAGCAGCAGGATACTATATTAATATTCAAAAATTGTTATATTTTATGTACCAATAATTAACTGTCAGAAAGAGAAATTAAGAAAACTATCACATTTACAATTGCATCAAAAAATAAAATACCAAGACTGAAAAAATAGCGGTTGAATAGGCAGCAGTGCCACACACCTCCTCCTAGGGCCAGGTCAGAAGTATAACTAAATCAGAGAACATACACCCTGAATTAACAAATTAGACACAGCTGAGGAGACAATTTTCAATAAGGAAGGGCAGAGGATACCTAGAGAATGCCACTTGCCAGCCATAACCCATGTGGAACCACCACCATGCCCTGGCAGTGTAATACCTCCCAGAAGGTTCCCAGACATCTGCAGGGAGCACTTGCCAGAGTGAGCTCCTGCACCAGGCCTACTCACCAGCCTGCTTTACCCAGCTTCCTAGGATCTGGCTCCAAGACCCTGCAGTGAGTGCAAGCCAGTGGGCATTCTATTCCCTATTCCCTACCCCCACCCCAGATTACAGAACCATACTGACAGCCTGTCCCAGAGACACCCAGCACACAGTCCACCCCAAGACCCAGGACATGCTACCAGAGCAACCCAGACAATTCCCCACTCTAGGCCATAGGAGAGTATGGACTGTGTGACCCAGAACAACCTGCCCTGCTCCACCTCAGACTAGAAGGGGCAACCCAGAGCAATCCAGTGCCCACCTTACTCAGGGCCACAAGGGAGCTCTGACTGTGCAACCCAAGGCAACCTGCACCTGCTTCTCCCTAGCCCCTGGAACAATCCTTCAGGGGCTACCAGGAGCAATCCAGTACATGCCCCACTCCAGGCCATAGGAGAACACTGCCAGGGTGAACTGGGACAAGCCGATGTACCCAACCAGGAACCACAGGACCAAGGTGCAAGTGCACTAACAGAGGGACCTAGGGTGCCAACCTGTCATAGGGGCTAAGGTTACACAGCAAATTGTATGCCAGAGGACTTTGGGTCCTCACAAAGAGTGGCACACTAGAATAATCGTTCACACACTCCCACCACCCTGAGCATCTTAAGAAGACAACTGAGGGACCAGATCCATGGGAGAAGGGGATACAACTCAGAGCAGAGACAATAAAGGCATGAGACTCAAGGAGGAACCAGGCTCTGGGCTAATGATTTTTGGACTATTGCCCAGATAGGGTCTTCAACCTCTCAAACCCCAAGCAGGGTGCCCAGGGTCAGAAAGAGAAAGTGAAAATAGGGAGACAAAGAAACAACCTCCCCAAGGAAAGAAAAGGAGGAAATACCAAAAAAGGAACAAAATGAAATGCAGGCATTCAATATGTCAGAAAAAGAATTCAAAGTAAGGGTCATACAGGTTCTAAACCAGTCATAAAATCAACAACCTATGTAAGAATCAAGAGGAAATGAATGATATAAATACAAAAAAAAATGATGGAATGTTTCAACAGTAGACTAGAAGAAGAAGAGGACCAAATTAGCAAGTCAGAAGACAGGGAAGAAAAACACATCCAATCTGAACAGCAATTGCAGGGGGGAAAAAATTAAAAAGCAGGAGGAGAGCTTAAAGGAGCTTTGTGACAACATGAAATGAAGTAATATCCATATATTATGGGTGCCAGAAGGACAAGAAGAGGAGCAAGTATTAGAAAACTTGCTAGAGGAAGGAAGATGGCCACTGGCAGGAAGGGAGGGAGGGAAAGAGTGTAAGAGAGTGAGGGAGTGATAAAGAAGTGTGTGAACATGTGGGGTGTGTGTGTGTGTGTGAATGACCTAAGAACAGTTAGACTCTTCAGATATTCCAATGGGCTTCCAAACTGGGCAGTTTTAGATGAAGGAGCCCCACTCCCAATGCAGACACTCCGGGAGGCCAGTGCAGGCACAGAGACCACACCACCTTGAGAAACAGAGCTGCTTGAGACTAAGACTGTGGCCTCAACACCACCTAATCACGTTTCAGACACAAACCAGGACCCTGCAGCCACTGGGGACAGAGACCTGAGAGCATAACTACAGACCCACAGACTCCAAGAATCCAGACATCTCGGCCACAGATTTCTGTGAGTCACAGAGCCTATCCCTCTCCCTGCAGGTTCCCAGGCAGTACCATAGTAACTGATAGACCATCCCCTAGCATGAGCCACAGTTCTGCTACAGGAATTTGAGCCTGGGAGTGCACAGATACTGGGAATCTGTTCCCTGCAACGCAATCAGGAGACCAAACCCGAAGCCCATGCAGGGTAGCAGTGCCACCTGATTTTGATTCTGGGCAAGCACACACAGAAATCTGTTTTCCGCAGCGCAGGAGCGGACCTTCTGCTGACACAGTGCTACTTTGCAACCCAGTCCCCCAAGCTGACTGGGTCTCCAATTCTCCAGGCAGGAGGCAGCACTAAGTAACAGTTACTTGATCCTGTTTCTTATCGCATGTGCCTGGGGTCCCTGACTCTCAGTGCATTCACACTAAGAGCCAGTGACTCCAATTCTTGGTGCATGTGCACACAGGGACCCTGATTCTCAGCGTTAAGACACACTAAGCAACAGAGAATCTGATACTCAATTCTTGGTGCAAGCACAGGGAAACTCTGACTCCTGGCATGCGCTAGGAGGCTCTGATTTTTGGCACACACCACAGCAGGGTCCCTGTTTCAGCACCGTACAGGCAGGGTCCCTGATTCTAGGTGCACACCTGAGGCCACACTGAGCACTGGTAATGCTGACTCTGGGTGAGCTTGGTTCCCACCAAACTACAATATCCACACATCTTAGTGTCAGAGCTCTTCAGTGACACGTAGGTGGTGTGAAGCTTCCACTGCACATGGCTCAGGCCCAGGCAATTCAATGTTTGAACTTTCTGGTGATAGTCAGAATGGGGAGACGACACTATCCCTAGAGGAAAGAAATTGAGAAGTCACCGAGAAAGGATAGTACTGAAATTCAAGCATGCAACATGACAGAAAAAGGAATTCAGAGTAATGATTGTACAATACATTCACCAGATGGATGAGAAAATCAACAACCTATGCAAGAATCAGGAAGAAATGAAAAGTGGTATAGCCACAATCAAAAACACCATGGAAGGTTTCAACAGTAGACTAGAAGAAGCAGAGGACCGAATTAGTGATGTAGAAGATAAGGTAGAGAAACAAGCTCAATCTAAACAGCAACTGAAGAAAAAAAATTAAAAAGAAGGAGGAGAGCCCAAGGGAGCTTTAGGACAACACAAAACAAAGTAATGTACATATGATAGGGCTTCCAGGAGGACAAGAAGAGCAGCAAGAATTAAAAAATCTATTTGAAGAAATAATGACAGAAAAATTCCCAGATATGAGGAAGAAAAAAGTTACGAAAGTACAGAATCCCAAGCAAGTTGAATCCCAAAAGACCCACACCAAGACATGTCATAATTTCAATGGCAAATATAATGACAAAGAGAGAATCTTAAAGGCTGCAAGAGGGAGACAGAGTTACTTACAAGGGATTCCCCCACCATATTATCAAATGATTTCTCAACAGAACACATCAAGCTAGAAGGGAATGGAAGGAGGTATACAAAGTATTGCAAAGCAAAGGACTGAATCCAAGAATATTCTCTCCACCCTTGAGAAGAAACCTGGGTTCCCCAAGATATGTGATCAGTGCTGGGGCCCTGCCAGCAGGCATGGGAATCCTAAGGCAGGAGCTGGACATGGAGGCCACAGGACCATAGGATACCAAGGAGACAGAACTGAACCTCACATCAACCTGTTTGGCCCCAGAGGATGGCTGGTTAGCCAGTGATGGGTAAGATTCCTCAGGGAAGGAACAACCTAAGACAGGCACAGTCAAAGAGGGGCCATTAGGAAAGAACTTGGGGGTCAACCGAGGTGGGGCACAGACCCTCACCCCAAAAACTTTGCAAGAGCCTGAAACCTCACCCCTGCTGAGGGAGTCTCCTGCCCCCATGGCTGCTTAACCTCCCATGCCCAGCTCAAATCGGGACCCGGGTAAAAGACAGAGACTTGGCTGACAGCAGCTGCCCTCGCACTACAACAAGACTTGTTTGAGTTGTCTTGTAAACATGCTGTGGGGAAGTGGGTTTTTTATATCTAAATCCAGCCTATCACCAGGAATGCTCAGGGCCTACACAAGAAGGCAAATAATCATTTTCCCTAATATTTACATGGTAAAATAAGCTTGTCTTAGAGTAATAAATTTGACAGTAAAATAGTAGACAAGTTTTCAGGCTAATTTAAATTGGCTAATTGAAATAAGTAAATATCCTAGAAAAATTAATTGCACTTGACAAAAAGCTGTTCCTAAAGTGTTAACTAAAATTTTTATTGGTAGTTCATCTCAGGATAAAATCTCACAACAGGAAATGAACCTAAAGCAGTCATATTATAGTGCAAAAAAATAAATTTAAAAGCTATCAAGACTACATTATAAAATTTCCAAAAGCCTCCTAATATTTAAATCAAAAAAAGGGGGAAGTAGAAGAATATCATGTAAGGAAAAATATCCTGAAAGTAAATTACATGTAGAAAATTATTTGTAATGCTATCAGCAAGACACCCATGAAAAACACACATGGTGTCAAAACAAGCCAGAAGAAAATCATTTGGGCAAAAAATGAAAAAGGATCCCAAGTCAAATTTATAGAAAATATTCCTTTATTAACTTTTGGTCAAGGATATGTTTGTATATTTTCAGAAAACAACTCCAAGACCATGTGGATTCTGGCAACAGAGAGGAATTGACAGGACTACTCCAACCATGAAGACAGAAGAGAAGCAGTCCAGAGATGGAAGTCGCTGATGACACCTTACCATAATACCAGTCAGCAGCTGTGTAGGTTGCCCCGGACCAAACCAGAGAGGGTTGCACCTGCATTACCACCGTTTGCCAACCATCCAGAACTGAAATATCATTGCTGACATGTACACATAATGAACTGTTTGACATTGAAATTGGGTCTCAAAAGAACTGGTGGCCCAGAAAGAAGCTCATTACAGACTGATTCATATGCCTTTCAGCATAATGATTATTGCTTGTCTCATTTTTTATTCTTATAAGTATATTTCCAGTAGGACATGATCTCACTCATCTAGGGGAAATGATGAACAACATAGACTGATGAACAAGAACAGACCCAGAGATAAGGAGCCATGGGTCAGACTGTTGGACCTCAATGGGAGGGTGGGAATAAAAGGGAGAGATCAACCAAAGGACTTATGTGCACACATATGAGCCTAACCAGTGGTCAAGGACAATAGGGGGGTGGGGGCATGAATGGGGGGTGGGGGATTAGAATGGGGGATTGAGGACAAATATGTGGTACCTTAATCAATAAAGAAATTAATTTTTTTTAAAAAAGAATACTCTATCCAGCAAGACTATCAATCAAAATTGAAGGGGAAATCAGGAAATTCACAGACAAAAAAAGGTTAAGGGAGTTTATCACCAGCAATGCAAGAAATGCTAAAGGGAATGCTGTAAAAACAAGATATAAAAAGGTAAGAAGGAACACAGGCACAAAAATATAAATGACTACAAACAAGTACCTTTTTAATAACTTTAAACATAAATGGACTAAATGCTCCAATCAAAAGACATCAAGTGGCTGAATATTTTAAAAATGACATATATATATATGTATATACATATATATGCTGACTACAAGAGACCCACCTCAGAACAAAACACTCACACAGACTGAAAATGAATGGATGGAAAAATATCATTCAGGCAAATGGAAATGAAAAAAAGCAGGGGTAGTGATACTTATATCGGACAAAATAGACCTAAAAGTGAAGGCCATAACAAGAGATAGGAAGGCCACTTCATAATACTAAAGGGATCAATAAAACAAGAGGATATAACCATGGTAAACATATATTCATCCAATGCAGGAGCACCCAAATACATAACAAAACTCCTGGAAGATATCAAGGGAGAGATCAACAACAATATAGTCATAGTAGGGGACTTTAATACCCCACAGACACTACAGGATAAATCCTTTAGACAAAAAAAAAGACAAAAAAAAATCAGCAAAGAAACAACAATCCTAAATGACTCACTAGATCAGATGGAATTGATTGACATCTTCAAAACATTTCACCAAAGCCACAGAATATGCATCCTTCTCAAGTGCACATGGGACATTTTAAAAAATAGACCACATATTTGGTCACAAGCAAAGTCTCCCCAATTCAAGAAAATTGAAATGACACCAAGCAGCTTCTCAGACCACAATGGTATAATATTAGAAATAAAGTACAATAAAAAACAATCCAAAAAACTCAAACATTTGGAAGCTGAATAACATGCTATTAAACAATGATTGGGTTACCAAAGAGATCAAAGAAGAAATTA